GAAAGCACAGTGATCGAAAACTGTCCCTTTATGGCATAAGAGCAGTTTCTCAGATAGGAACATTTTCAGTCTTCCAAATGTACTGTCATTTATACTCTATTGCTGATTTCACGCAGTAGTTCTGTTGAAGAGATAAGCTGTTCAATAGAGAAGTCGTTTTGCACCTGTCCATTGATTTCAACAGTCCATACGGTTACGTATTTGTTTAACATCACCAGTCTTCTTCAGATGCATTTTCAGTCCCATTTCATGCCGGCATCGTTCAGCTCTTGAATACTTCTTTTCAGTTCTCCTGGTGACCTTAATAGAATCAGAATATCGTTCGCAAACCGCAGGTAGCCTAAAAGTGCCCATTTGTTTAGGCTCTGCTTTTTCAACTTTTTCTAAGAGTGTCTTAAAAGCCTCTTCTACTGCTACTGTAAATAACTTCAGTAATATTTTGCCTCTTCAAATGACTTTTTTGAAGTTGATCTGCTTGTACAATCATGAATCACTAGCAGTTGCATTTTTATACGTTGTGGCAGTGAAGTCTCTATCTTTTCTCTATTCGTTAGCTGTTCAAGAATCTGATTAAAGAACACATGTAGACTGAGTCAAAAATATTTTCAAAATCGAGGAACCCCACTAGAGAGGAAGTTAATATTTTTTGCTTGTTGTAATAACATCTTTTGCCTTGCAGATGATTCATTCTATAAAATTTACTTCTGAATCCTGCTTTCTCTTTTGGTTGTTCGGCGGGCGACCAGTTATTCTTGAAGACTGTTCGTCGGCACTTTCAAGAGATCTTATAGATAATTGAAAACATATAGATCGCCTATAGTTCTTGACATCAGTATCTTGTCTTAACCAAAATTGAAAATGGCAAACACGAAAACACTAATTCACATACACACACATTTAACTAATTCAGCTATTTGTCTTTTGCTTTAAATTACTGCACCATGCCAACGTCAATAATCTATTAAATTTAACCATTCTGAACCACTAACTTTGTGCACCCACAGGAAAGAAAATTCTAACCTTCGTATGATGTGGAGCACAGTATTAATTGCAGTGATTCGTAGAAATCAAACAGCATCATTCCAAAAATAAAAATTAGTTTAAACAAGCTGTGATGCCATTCATCCCGTGATTACAGTGACAGTTGATCAACTTCGTGATAAAAATTAATTTTGCAAACTGCCTTCGCAGCAGGCGTTTCATGAAAACGTATTTCACTTCTCCGGTGGAAACGATATCATCAAGAATTAATGGTAACATCTTAGCAGTTAAAACCTGGAATATTTATTTCATTGGTAAGTTTGCGCCGAAGGAACACTGTTTCGAACTTCGAACGCTTCGGTTCACAAAATTATCTTCCCGGTCATTGAGAACTGAATGGCGTAATGGGACGGTGCCTAAGTTGTCTGCATCGGAGTCCAGAACTACTGGGTTCAATCCTGTGAGGGCAATCTTATTCACGAATCTACTACATACTGCTTCAAACCGGAGACATTCAGTCCGTAGACTGTTGAAGGTAGAATCGATATTTCGCGAGTTACAGACCCGGTCAGGGTAACCTCTTTTCTACGTTCCGAAGTTAATGACTATCACCTATAGTTCTGGAAAGGAAACAGGAAATTACCACGCTCGCCACGTTGCTGTATAGTCTGCTTTAAAATAAGGCACTCCTGGCTAACAGTAGAGGCGAAGATCAACAGCGCACCATTCACTTCGTGAAAAGAAGGGTACCAAAATGGCTGTCATGAAGATGAACGAACATCAACGTTCCAACGGTGACAAACGTTCCTATTTTTTATGAGTCTTTTTACTTAACAGTATTTTATGATATTACGCAACCATTGTCAAAATGTAGTTTGCTGATAGCAACACTACTTGCACAAACAAATGCACTTCACTTGAATTTATCATCATTCAACATAGTAATTTAAAACTGAATCGCTGTTACTGATAGTTTATTAATCAGGCTTGTAATTATCAGTAGCAGAAATAAAGCGTACATCTGGCTATATATTGGTATTCACATAATTTAAATACACAACGATATGATACAAGTCATCACAAGAATCTAACAGGAACGTATAAATATCCAACAGAAGTCACATGTACAAGCCATCAACGACAATGAGTCAGAGTGGTAGCCAAAAATGAACAAAACTACAAAAATGTAACAAAAAATTCACACGGATAAATTATCATTGTTCGAGAACTTTCCAGAGCTCAAAATGATCTACAGTTGACAATTCACTTATCCGCTGTTGTTATCATTCAGGTTATTTTTATGAGGTTTGCTCTCGCTCACTAAAAAATCGAATGGTTAAAAATGATCACTGCGTTGCAAGTTCTAGAAGTTCAAGATAACCGATCCTAAAACGGCAAACTAGATGATATAAAAACAGTACATACTCAGCTCTCTGAAGTCTGAAGACCTGTTCTGTTGAGTAAAATTCATGCTGACGAAACCCTGATTTGAATCGCTGTCAAAACCTTCTGAAAACGCTAAATCATTTGGTGTTAACAAGTGGCAACTGCCGCATCCGGCAGGAATTTACTTACCAGTGTTTGAATCTTCGTTCATCACCGAAAAAGTTGGCAAACGCTTCTTTCCGACATCGTCTTTTGAATCGTCAGCTAAAATATAACAATAAAAACAAAATTAATACAACATATTAATTATTCTACTTTTAGAGATTACATAAGTGCTTTTGAAATATGGAATATTCTCGAAGCTTCAAATGTTAACATGTACGGCCTTCATAAAATTCAGATAAAAGACAGGAAACGGGAAATTTCGCTTAGTTCCGGAAGGAGAAAGTCGCGGCGAAAGACAGTGTACAATTGCTTAAGAACTACTGCACCATGAATTCAATGCTGTGATTGAACTACTGACGCCGAACAATTCACCGCTGGAGCAGAACGGTGCCACAGAACATAAAAAGGAAATTAAACGTATAATCGTTGGGGAACTGGCCCGGAATGGGGCGTTTTGGCGCAGACCGCTGACTGGTGTCAGTGGATGGTCCTGCAGTCGCCGCATTAAATCTGTAGAGCTGGACAGTGGTCAGCTGTATGAGTTGCGAGATTCAACGAATCATGCTATATATCAATGAAGAGCTATCAGTAAGATGCCGCTGTCAAACTGAGTATCAACGATTTTCAATTTATGACTCCATCTTGCTAGGTCGGGCGAAGTTAAATCATTGACACAGATGACCATCTGACAAAAACATTCAAACCCCTGATCGCAGACGGCGCTATGACCTCTGACAGTCGTCACGATGGAACTGCAATAAGAAAATCAGTAGTTTCACAACGGCATCGTACTTCACTCACAAAGAGCTATCCATTGATATATGACATGATGGACTGAATTCCGCAATTCATGCAGCTGATCATTGCCCAGCTACACAGGTTCAGTACGCTGGCTGCAGGACAAAGCGCTGACACCAACCAGCGGTCTGCGCCAAAGCAGCTGAAACAGATATCATAGATCATACTGGCCCGCTGTTCACTTCCATGATTTGAAACCTCATTTCTTAATGAGGCTAATGGCGTAGCGCTGATCTCTTTCAAGACACCACCTGTCAGTAGTGCCATTTCTGAAGGCGACATCTAGAGGCCAGGATCCACCACTGTGATAACCTGCCGCTTCCTTCCTTCACAGTGGAATTCGTTTAAAGGAAGGAAAAAAGCGTACTACAGGCCGTAGTTCGAATTCATAATCTTTCAATGATCTAGCCATTGAGTTACTCGGACAGCTGACTCAACGAAACAACCAACAGGTGGACCGACACAGCCGCTTATCCTTTAAGGTAAGAGAGAGCAACCTCACAG